GGCAGCAGCAACAAGCGTAGTCCTATCCGCGGTGAATAACTCGCCGGCAGTCAGCCGCGGCCTCCTCGAGCGCAACTTTACGATTCGGTTTAAAGACCTAAACACTGCGGGAAAGGCCATTTTTGTCGAAAGTACCCAGTTTGAGCTCCATTATTTGAATGTCGGGCCTGAAAGCAACAAGCTGCACGCTGTTATTGGTGACAGTGAAACCGCACTCTGCATCCTCACGGGGACATACACAGAATTAGATCATCTCGTCAAAGTTATAAACCAGACTCTGGCCAACGCCGGTCATGACGGTATAGTCTTCAGCTACGTGTGGTCTAAGAGCCAAGTTCAGGTCAGGGTGCCGACTGGTAAGACCTTAAAGACGAATAAAGATAGCCGATCCCTCATCGTTGGTTTAGGTGAGATTGCGGCAAGCAAATCATGGGATGCCACATGTGGCTCATCCGGAATCGTGAAAACCCTCCCTTACGCAGTAGACCTGAGTGCGGGTCGGCAAGCAGTCCTCCTTTAAACGGATATGATCTACCCCGCTGCGGAGTATGAGGACAACACTGACAGCCGGGTCCTCAAGAACTTTCTGGTGCAGACACTCGACGGCATTAACAATTATGTGTTTGCTAATCCCGACTTGCGGCGTCTACGCCCTACCAACAAGTTAATGAGGTGTCCTTTTGGTTGAAATTGAACACTGGAGAGTAACATTTCCAAAGGGTATCCGATCTTTCTGGATGTAAGAACCGTTGATATCAATTAATTTTATTCAGAAAAATATGAACAATGTATCAAGCTAATGATGGGTCTTCCAGAGGAGCTTTCGGTGGCCTGCCATGATTTTGCTGCAGCCGCTTGCCACGATCTCTGGGGTCAAGGTCTGCGAATGAGAGGATTTCCACTTCTGGAGTTCGGTGACCTTGCCGATGTCTCGCTGGAGGGATGGAGAGCAATGTCTTGGGAAGCGTTTGTTGACATGGGGAAAAAGAACATACCGTACGCGGTGCGGGCAAAAAGCGGCGTTGCTCATTGCGTTCGCTGCCTACTTACTGTAGAAGCGCTCCAACACCTCGAGAATGTTTACAGGCGATTCATCGAGAACTGATTAACGATGGCAACAAGCACCCTTGTGCTTTTTAGACTCCCGCTGTGCTTTTTGTAATTATGCTGGTATAATTAATTCTGATGTGATAAATATAGTATAAGGAATGGAAGATGGATCACTCGCTCTCGAACGTTGACATCGAGCCCGAGGACGGTTCGTTGTGGTGTGTAGCGACGACAGCCAGCCACATCTACACGATGCGCAGTTTTGCATCAGCAACACGGACAACATCTACCCTCTCCATGATCCGGTCGAAGGGGGGCACCACTGGCTAACGTTTGTTCTACTGGAACGCATGTGCTTGTCTTCGATAGCTTTGGACGTGCGCTCGCTGAAATAGAGGAAGCATATACAGAGTCCCAGCTGCGTAAGTATTTTCTGGAGGCCTTTCAATAGCGGGTCATTTTTACGAATACGTTTGCAGTGCAAAGTCGAGCAACGGCTGTCTGCGGGCGCCATGCTGTCCTGGTGGGGCGGCTGTTTATAGAAGAGTGTTCTGTAGAGGGGCTTTTAATAAGTTTAAGAGGGGTGTTTGGCGAAGATACTCTAGCTAATTGTCAGAAGGTGCTCGACCTTGTGCCTCTGACCACTGGCGTTGGTCCTGACGATTTCAAAGCTGAAGAGAAGTCGCCTATGACACGTCATAGTGTCGAAGCCGTCGTCCCGACAAAGCATGGTCGCGTTTCTACGGATGGAAGCGTTGAGGAACGCCTCGCAGAGGCATATTACAGTCCTGTGGGGTACTGGCGCGGCCGTGCTGCTATCTCAAAGCTGGCTAAAGATGCTGGCGTCGGCGAGGATGTGGCTCATGAATGGCTAACAAAACAGGGCATCTGGCAGATCTACTTGCCTGCACCAGCGCGAAGTGCTATCCCCCGATCTAAGTTTGACATCAGCACCCCGATTGAGGTCCACCAGGCCGATCTCTTGTATCTGCCTCGCACTGAGTGGGAAGACGCACATTCAAATACGCAATGACTGTCGTCGACGTAGCAAGTCGGTATAAGGAGGCCCAGGCAATCACAAACAAAACAGCGACCCAGGTTGGGAAGGCGTTAGAGTCCATTTATGTCCGTGGGCCTCTTCGATGGCCTAAAGTATTACAAGTTGACCCTGGCTCGGAGTTCCTTGGGGCTGTGCAAAAAGCATAAATGGTGTCACGATTCGACGAGGTAAGGACGGGGTTCATAGGGATCAGAGAATCGTAAAAAGATTTAACCGAGCCTTGGCGGAGTGATTGTTCGGTTACCAGTATCATCGCAATCTTGCTGAGCCCGGAACTCCGAACAAAGAATGGGTATCACGATTACCTGAGGTGGTTAAAGCGCTCAATAATGAATCTACTCGTTTGACGGACGAAAAGCCCTCCCTTGCGATTCGGAAGAAGAGCGTTAAGGCCAAACCCGCTGCGCTGGCGTTTCGTCCAGTTGGTTTCAATGAGCAACGCTTGCCATCGGATGTTATGGTGCGGTATTTGTATGTGCCTTGCGAACTCGAGGGTGGCAAACGGCGTAGGGCGACCGATCGTCTCTGTGGTTGAGGGCGGGAAGCCTGTGTTGTATTATTTGAGCGAAGGCTCCAACCGCGCGTTTGTGCGCGAGGACCTCCAATTGGTACCCTTTGGGACCGAAACACCGCCGGCTTAGTCGATGGGGTCCTGTCACGCTTTTATGAAAACTCCTTTCACTACCAGGTACTACCTTGCGCTTAGCCGTGGAGCAGCTCTTCTACTGTAATTATAACATCATAACTACGCATTCATTTCTTCAATTGAGCACCGGCTTCTCTATGCCCGTATGCTAGGGTAGAGACCCATTAGCCGCGATCCAGCGCTTCGTGTCCAGCGGGCTCAACGATGTCTTGTTGACGTGTTCGCCGAAAATCTGATGCCCGCGGCTGCGCATTACATCCATACTATCGCGGAAGTGCTTTACTTCGAAGAGCGCCTCTTTGTTCTGGGCATGACTGATATTCTTTTTCACGACAGCCTTTTTAACACCTTTGGCTTTGCGCTCCTCCTGACCATCGGCTTTCATGATAGAGTGCATCTTAGGCTTGTGCCCCACAAACTCAGCGATAGGCGCCTCGGCGCACTCGTCTTCTATTTCCCCAGCACCTTCTGGTTGGCTGTGCTGAACAGCGGATGGTTTTTGGTATAGTTGATGGTGTCGTAATGACCGGCGTTGCGTCTCATGTCGGCGTACACGTCCTCAATTTGGATCTCCAGCACAAGGCTGTCGGTGTCGATGTAGAAGAGATCTGCTGACGACCCGTAATGCAACTTGAGATGGTTGTAGTACCAATCGTACATCAGATGCTTCGAGAGGTTGAGAACGCTCATGCCCACGAAGACCGGCCGATTTAGCAGAAGACTGCTTTTATTCATGTGAACGGCTGCGAGGTCTCCAGCATCGCCAAAGATGAGATGCCGATTGAATATCGGGTTGGCGATAAGTTTGTGGAGTCTCTCGGTCTCGTTTGGCCGGAGCAGCATCACATCGACAAGCTTTCGGAGGTTCTACATCGTTTTGCCGAAGACGCTTTTGCTCAGCAGCTTGTAGAGGTTGACTTCAAAGTCACTCTTAGCCTTCTTCCGGAGTTCGGTATTTTTCCGGATGTAGGGCTCCATCCATGGGCTTTGATTGAAGTGGAGCGCTCTTTGGATCTTTTTCAGGCGCATGCCAAGCTACAGACAGAGCTACAGATTCCGATAATGCAGGACGTATCGGGTCTTGTCGTGCAGATTGGGGACCAGCTTTTCGACCTTGTGAGACGCTCCCCCATATATCTGTTTAAGGAGATTTTGCTGGTAACCCGACATCCACGCGTTGTCGACCTTAAGGATATGCATTGTTTTCGTCATGCAGCTCTTCCGGGTACTCCAGATCAACTTCGATAATGTAGCCCTTCTCTGCATCTGCAGGCTGGTTCAAGGTCGCCTTTGCATCCTTTTGGGGGACCCACTCGAACGCGTCTGTCGGCAGTGGCTGCGACATCGCCCAGCCGTACAGGTTGTTTTTGTCGTCATACGGGATCCAGCTTTGGGGCTTCTCTGGATCGTAGTCTGGCACCTTGGGAATGTTGGCCTTACGAAGCGTCTGCTGGCCATGCTGATGCCGCTGCGCAGGCCCTTCTTGATGAAGAGATGAATGTCCATGTCGGTGAGCAGCTCGAGCTCAACCCCTGTGTGCTTGAGAAGAGCGTCCCAGCTTAGGCCCGGGCTAGTGTAATAGTTGGCTGGGTCTAGGCAGTATCGCTCAAGGCACAGCTTTAGGAAGCTCATGAAGACGTCGGCGAGGAGGAGGACATTTCCGCTGACGCTTTCTGTGCCCACTCTGCTAAACCTCAAAACAGCTCAAATAACGCACTTGAAGACGCGATTTTGTCAAAAATAAAATAGCTGATGTAAAAATTTCAAAATATAGTAACCTTTGCATAAAAATGGAACTTTTAAGACCAACATTATGTGAGGGTGGAGTTCCCCTTTAAGCTCATTTGTCTATCAATGTAAAAAGGCTTGTACGTGGGTTTAGTTGGTTTGTAGCAGATTGCATTATAGGCTCTTTTTGATGACTAGATTGTTCAACTGGTAATCTCTAATAGTTTAAACTATCTTTATCCTAACTTAATTTACAGTAAATTCTGGACTTTATTTAATTTACAACGTTTTCCTGCAATATTGTAGCTGATTATTTAGGCAGCTCGGTATATTATAGCGGAGTTTTATCAACAGAATTAAACACAAGCGCTCAAAGCATTACCATCAGACTTATTCTTTAAACTACTCAAGCATATCATTGTGGCTTTGTTGACTAACTTTCTAAAGCGCAAATCATATAAAAGATCTTTGTATGGTTTTTATTATTATGTAAATAAATAAAAACCATTAGTTTGGACATACGTGGCAATGTCATTTCTCTCTCAAAAAATCTTCAGTAAATGTCGAAGAATGGCTGAAGTTAAGATTGTCGTCTTAATAATCGTATGGTGGATTGCAAACACTCTTACAATTGAGTTTTCCAAAGATGAAATTTCAATTACGGAGCAATCATTTGGCGACATAAAATGGCTCGACTTAACTTGCTTGCAGTTAATTGTTGGTTGTTTAGGGTCAGCGATTTTATTATTTCTTTTTAAGCGAAGATTATTTGGTTTAAAGATCATTCAGAGTTATAACAGTTTGGTGGCTGTCGCTACTAATGTTATCGGCCATCTTTTAGTCAATGTTTCATATGCATTTGTAAGCTCAAGCGTGACTCAGGTAATCAAGTCTACTGAACTTTTATTTACATATATTTTTATTCTCTACCAGCAGCAAGTGGAAGATAAAAAAAAACAACGTGTAACGGCTTCAGTGTTTGTATCAATTATGCTTATGTCACTAGGAATGACTTTTTTGATGTCTAACAAAGAGCGCAATGTTTACGGAATTGTAGCCGCAGTTGTGTCAAGTATTTTATTTCCACTTCGTAACATCGCTTTAAAAAGAGCACATGTGCAATTTTACGACGGGGCTATTGAGATGTACTTCAATTTATCATTCTACGGTGCTACTGGCCTCTTACCGTTGGTAATTTTTAAGTTCTTCCTGCCATATAATGCCTTACACCTTTCTTTTAATAATATAACGTCGGGAACATTTCACGGATTGTACAACCTGGCTTCTATCTCAGTTCTCCAACATGTTACCCCATTAAATCACGCGCTCTTAAATTTTTGCAAACGTTTACTAGAATTTACATTCAGCATCAGGTATTTCAACGTTCTAACCTGGCAATTGGTGACCGGTTATGTTATTGTTTTTTTTGGTCTTGGAATATATCTTATTAATTATCAGAATGAAAATAAGCTTTTGAATGTTCGTGCATGTTTAATTGGAATGGCTAAAATTGTCTTTTATTTGCTCTCTTTAACACTTTTGTGGACTGCAGTTTTTCAAAATATTGTGTATGTTGAACAAAGTGTGAGCTTTGCTCATCAACTCTCTAATACCAGGTCTGTAAGTGGTAACTTTACTACTGCTTGGCTTTTCAATAAAAACGGTTTTCAGTCGTTCGTTAGTAGTGTAGAAAGTCTTCACAAACAAACCAAGATACCCGTAAATGTGTATTGTGGGACTATGGCATGTGTGAATGCCGTAGAACGTCTAAATCACCCTTTGATTTCAGCTAAATTTCTTATCGTACCAGATGTATTGGACAAAACCCCTTTAGAAAAATGGGGTGGACGTCATATTTTGTATAAGATATTGACTGGAGTTCATTTTGAATGGTACTTAACTCAGGCTCTTTGTCTTGGGCATTTGTGGCGATACGGTGGAACATTTTACTTTCCCTCTTATAGAGAGTACAGTGAGAAACAAAAGGTCATAGATGACATATTTCCCTGTATTTTGCTTGAAAAAAATGCTAAAAGCTTTCATTCGAACATGAAAAAAGGATTGCCGGAAGGGGCTAACATAGTCATGGAAAAAATCAAGAAGTTTGTTTTTACAATGAGACAATGGAATCCAGCAAATTTACCTTCGTCGTTTAAAGGGAATGTATGGAATGCTTACTCGAGACACTGTAATCTTTATAAACGCTGGTGTTTAATTCGGAATCCAAAAAGCCTGAAAGATCTTTACCACGAGAAAGGAATGTCTATTAGTGATAAGGACCAGCATTTCGGAATACTTTCCCTAGACAGTCTTGTTGGTTTTCGTAATCATGGAAATATTGGTGATGAAATGCAGACACTTTCCGGCATTCAGTTTTTTCCGTTTCTCGACTTTTTCTACGATAGAGATATGCCAATTGCGCCCAATGTCGATAGCGAGAGTTTTGTCTTTTTCAATGCTTGGTGGGGTAGACGAAGTCGTAAATGGCCACCACCTTCAAATATCAATTCCATTATGTTATCAGTCCATGTTAACTCTGCATTTCAAAATGTCATTGCACAAAATCCTGATATGATTGCTTTTCAAAAATCAAAACAGCCTATAGGTGCTCGTGATACGAAGACTAAAAAATTTCTGGAAACATTAGGAGTTCGATCCTTTTTCTCTGGATGCATGACAATCTTTCTTAAACGTCCAGTAGCATTAAGTAAACGAAATGAAATAATTTATATTGTTGATGTAAAACGGGAAGGCTATAATGTGCTACCAAAATGGGTTAAGCAGAGCGCAAAATTCGTAAGCCATAATGTTGATTTTGGGCGAAATAAAACTTTGATGACAAAAAGACGTCATTTGCATGCTTATCAATTGCTTGAAAAATACTCAAATGCTAAAATTGTGATCACGCAGAGAATTCACGTGGCACTACCATGCGTTGCTTTGGGCACGCCTGTAATCTTTTTTGATGGAAATAGAATGCCTGGAGGTGGAGGAAAAGGCAACAAAAGTTCGGATAGGTTAGCTGGTCTTACTGAAATGTTCCATTTAATTGATCTTCACAAATTGACCCAAAAAGAAGCAAAAGAAAAACTTACACAGTTTAACTGGTCTAGCCCACCCAGAAATCCAAATCTTGGCACTCGTATGAGACTGATTTCATCAATGTGGAATGTAATTCGCCGGAAGAACGTTTTTTATGAAAGTGCACTTCGTTTTGGCATGATACCACTTACACCCAAATGGTTGATAAATGTCAACAATCCTATTTTTATCTTCCATATAATTCTGGATAACAAAATATACTATTCACATAGAGATCATCGTGGATTACAATGGTATCAACAAGGTTGCATTGAGTCTATTTTACGTAATCATCCTACTGCACATTTATATGTGCACAGCAATACAGTAGATCAGACATCGTTTGACTTTCTCACTGAAGTTGGTTATCAAATTTATGTAAAAAAATACTCAGTTGCTAGCTTGATAAAGAACACACCGTTGAGTAACATCCAGCATCCAGCTTTTTTAGAGGACAGTGATGGAAAAATTCTGAGAAAATATGGAATGTTAAGTTTATTACTTTTGTATCAATACGGTGGAGGATTCTTGAATGATGATACAATCCTTTTAAAACCTTTAAATTTTTCATTTGGAACCAATTTGAACTTGATTGTTGTTGATGAAAAATCAAAAGTATTTTCTTCGATTGTTTTCTTTGAAAAGGGTCACGAATTTCTTCATGAAGTCCTGGAAAAATTCTCTTTGGATTACAGCACCACAATGAACCTTCGAGAAGTGAATCTTATGTCAAAGGTTTGTGCATTGTTAATAATTGTCATTATCGCCTCTTTTTTGTTAGTTTTCCGATTTGCAATATCTTCAATCGAATAAATGTACCGTAACTGCGTAAAAGCACTATTGATACTGCGCATTTGATAAAAACGACAAGTTTTTTTTTTAAATAAACATGTTTCAACATCTCATGATGCCAACTTCAGTATAATATGGAGTATTATGTATGTGGTAAATATATATAATAATTATATGATTCTGTGATACAATCTATACACTTATCAATAGATTATTCTATTACAATGAAATAGTGGTTAAAATTAATGATGAAAATATTTGCAGGCTGATTATAGCCTATGAAAATGTTAGCAAGTATATGTGCTAGGGGAGAACCCATCGCAACACCATCGGTCTGGTTATAAAATTTTCCTTTAAGTAAAAAATGTGCCTGTGCCTAAACTAAACCAACTATTGACCCTCTTGCTTTAAAATCATCGACACTGCAGATACCACATTCGCACTCTAAATCAAAGAAGCACTTCACATCAACAAAACTAACACTAATCCTAAAGTTAAAGTTTTTCGTTTTAACATTATAATCAGCCTGTAAATATTTTCATCATTAATTCTAACCACTATTTCATCATAATATAATAATCTATTCATAAATGCATAAATGGTATCACAGTATGATATTATTATTATTATTATTGTATATTCATCACATACAAAATACTCCTTATAATACTGAATATGGCGTCATGAGATGTTGAAACATGTTTATTTTAAAAAAAACTTCTCGTTTTTATTAAATGCGCAATACTTATAAATTTAATTCAAACATTTACATTCGTAACTATGAGTTAGCCCAATGGAAAACGAATTCTTGATTTAAATATAATTACATGTTTGTACATGTAGATCGTGCAGGTTAGTAGAGTTCTGAGAAGGACTGTTTTTGTTGTTGTTGATTGACGTCTCGACAACCTTAGCGGTAGTCATCTTTAGAATCAAAGACGGTAATGCTGGTCATGATCAGCACGACTAAAAATTTCCAAAAAATTTTTTCCACAGTTTTATTTTCATTGTACATTCTGACAACTAATAATTTCTTATAGATTACTTTATTAACATAATATGATTATTTGGGACGAAGGTCAACCATTGTATTGCGTTTTATTCCACTACGTTTTCACACTAGAACTTATTCTACCCTTATAAGAGTGACTTGGTATTGCTCTGAAAAATCTCCATGACCAAATAATATATTTTATGGTAAAATTATCCGTAATTTGATTGGATAAATCATCTCAGCATGCTCAAACGCGATGTCTAACGTCATTTGGTCATGCTGATTTTAAAAGGCATGACCAACTTAATCCCGCAAGTAATCTTATTTGTCTGCGAGACTCGTGTTTGTAGTTCGTGCACTTTGGAAACATGCACGAACTATATAATTGCATTATTTATTTTACTTTCTCTGCTGCCGAAGGAGATATCATCGGTTCTTTGCCATGAAAGCTTTCTTTGCTTGATAATCTGGCCAGCAAAAGATTATTGTAAAGCGAATGGCAAATGGCGAAGTTGTAAACAACATCATGTGTAAACAGCCAACAATTACATGGAACACCAATGGGCTCACCCGTTTCTATTGGAGTTGCTGCAATTGTAATGCAATCTATAGAGGAACGGGCTCTCACGACTTACAAACATGCACTATCTTTTTGGTTCCGCTACGTAGATGACACAATCACAGCACAGCATGCAGACGAGATTGATGACTTTCACACTCACATCAACAAACATAACAGCCACATACAATTTACCAAAGATGTCGAAGAAAACGGAACTCTTCCTTTTCTCGACTGTTTGGTGAAACAAGACAATCAAAAACTACGAACAACAGTTATCGCAAACCAACACACACTGACCGACTACTAGAACAATCATCTTACAACTCTACATCACACAAAGCCACCACAATCTGAACATTAACAAGACATGCACAGATCATATGTGATTCACCGAACGCTCTACACAACAAAAAAAAGTATCTCAAATGTGTTTTTGACAAAAATAACTATAACTCCCACTTTATCAAACGCAACACTTACTAACCCAACGAACCCAACGAAACGAAAAACTCAGTGACAACAGCAACGACATCTTACATCAAGGGTACCTCTATTTTATAACATACCATAGCTGTTTTTTTATATTCTTGTAGGAATAGACAGTTATATCATATTTTTAATGTATTTGTAATCAAGTATTTACTGGCATATTTATTTATTATCTTAAAATAGATTTCGGTTTTTCTCATTATTGCATTTTGCTGGTAATTTTACGATAACTCTATGTTTTCAATAAACTGTTCTTTGTATACTTGTTCACTGCCTCGAAATACAACTCGTTATTAGGAGTAATTCTTTTGGAGTTAGCATGACTCTAAGTGTGGAGTGTTAAAATAACTCTATAAAGGAATTGTAGAAATATCTCCTTTATAGTCATTTTAATTCCACTTTTGGAGTTACGCTTACCCCAAAAGTGGAGCTATAATTTTGGAGTAAAATTTAACTCAAAAAAAGTAGTCATTCTGTACCTTTTTATTTAACTCCACTTTTGAAGTTAAATCAACTCCTTGAATTTAACAGTGTGGTATTTCATGTTTATTTACTTTTCGCAAATGAATTGATATCTGGAATAAAAATTTTCCACAAAAATAATTAAAAACTTTCAGTGAAAATATGTTAATAAATTTTGGCAACTGATCCGCTGAATAATATTTGCTTCTGGCTCTTTTATGGTGTTCCCATATGTATTTCTTTTGATCAGTTATTCGCAAATGTCCTTCTACAGACTTCAAGCATTTTTTCTAAGATTTTCAATACACCTAACTAATGAAGGTCTAGAATTTTCTTTTTCATCTCAAGTACTGCATTCTTCTTTGCAGGGATCACTATTACTTACACGCATCTCAGTGTTATCCTCTGCCACAACAGCAAAGAAAACCGGAACAAACATTTGTACGATGCTCAGTTTCATCAATGGGAAAAATTTGAAAGCAAAATGGAATTCAACTTTTGGAAATTTCGGGCAAAGACAGTGGCCTGACGAAGGCAATTGTTTAAGGAAGTAGATGGCCCTTTTGTGTCGAAAACATTCGTTAAAAATGCTGATGGTTTCAATATGGTTTCAATCACCTTTATGAGCTTCATGTTCTGACGTCTCACCTCTACTGCTAAGTTTTTCAACTAAGTTTTTCAACTAAATTTTTCAACCGCTAAAGTTTTAGCAACTCTACTGCTAAGGTCGCAACAGCAAAAATGATCTAATTTAAGCACATTTAGCTTGGACAGAATAGCAAAAACGTCCAAATCTTAACCATGTCTAGACACAGCGGGCATCTCAAAAGCCCGCGCCTGTAGGTTTAAGACTAAATAGCCCTCGGGATAATTTTCCATTGTGTGTGACAATCATCAGGAATTTCTTCGTCTGACCTCTCATCATTATTATCTTGCAAGTCATTATCTGTTGAATAGATGCCAGAGTCATCTTGAGCAAGAAAGGGTTTTAAATCGGCATTTTTTTTAATCGAAGGAACACGGAGCAGCTTTATCAGTGGAATAATCAAAAACAAGGACCTCCTTACACCTGCACAAGTGGAAAGGCTTTGGAGGATCAGTTCCAGGAACAATTTTCACCTCTGAACCATTTTTAATACCAACATATATTCAACTTTTGACTTAAAATCTTGATTGAACGTAGATTTGCTTCAAGGTTGCTCCCTTCATTATTTGGTCGAAAGTAGCTGACGAAAAATTTTTAGAGAGAGTGCATTTCCTCTTTTTGCCTTGTTGTTCTTCATAATTGCAATTGTAATTTTAACTTTAATGTCCCCAAGCTTCGAACGTTTTTGTCTTTTCTTTCGCACAAAAAAAGAGTTCCTCTTTTGTTTTACGTTTCACCTGTTGTATCTACAATTTGGCTACAGTGTGGGCAATATCTAAACGTTGTATCGAGACGTGTTCTTTGAACATGACAGAACTTGTTCCTTTGCGTAGATGCCATGTTTTTGAGTTGATAAATTAACATAATATACTCATTATTTAAATAAATATCTGTTCACTAAATAAATCGCAGTTCATTATATAAATCTCTGTTTGCTAAAAATCTCTGCTCACTTTTAGCTAAAGTAATTTCTAATTTCGCCTAATAAATCCCATTCTTTAATAAATCACTATTTTCTTTAATATCTCTTTTGCATTTGTCGGTCACCGTAAACATTACATAAATCGTCTCCAGAAAACTTTACAATGTTCTCATTTAATAATTACGCAAAACTTTTAAAATTAAAATAACCAAATTTACCTAACTTGAGAATTTCTCGTCAAGAATGACTCGTCAATAACCAGTTTTAAGCTTAAAGTTTTTCCCGGTTTCAATGCCTAGAAATCCTTTAACGCCTCACCGAATCCCTGTTATCCGAGCTCGTCTAAACAGTCACTAAAGCGGCATCGATATAAAAAGAGTCCGTCTCCGACGTTTATTCACGGTGAAGGGATAAACTGTAAAAATGATTGGTTAAAATAACCATATGATTGGTTACAGTAACCATAAAAATATTTGTTAAAGTGGTTAAATGCGTCTGAGGTAACTAATTTTAATGGTTATTTTAACCAATCAGTTTTTACAGTGTAATATGGAATTAGCAGTGTCAGAAAAGACATCCTTTTTAAAAGCGGTAAATTTGTCCGACTAACTGGTCTCCGTTCTTTCGGTTCCATAGTTCTTGTGTGAACGCAAGATCAAAAAGGATAGATTTCAGACCGCTTCCAAATTCGTACAGTGGCGTGTAAGCGTTGTCTTGAGCAATAAAGTTGCACCGTAAACGAAGAATTTAGTCGTAAAACCAGCACAAAACTCGCAACACCAACAGGAACAACAATGAAAATCCAAGAATTAAAGTGTGGAAATATATTGTCTTTTAATTAAAAATGAAAATTTAAAACAAATAGTATTTGTTATCATCATACAAGTACTGAAATTTATGCGCAACAAAACGGTGAAATAAAAATCATGGGCTTAAAATTTCCAAGCACCTGAGATAATATATCATTTTCTTCACTCGTGACAAAATGCATATCAAGTTTTACCGCTAATTGTGGACAGCATTAAAATGAAAACAAAAACAACCAGTTTAGATTGTACCTATATCAATGGCTTCGAGATTTGCGGAGACATTGCCTGTCAAAGACTTTATTAAATGTCAGGAAGATATTAACACAAGAAAAAAACGTTGCAGGATACACGACATTTTGAAGAATATTTAACTTCGAAAAATGAGTGCCAAAAAAAGCGAGGACATTTCCGTCGAAAAATTGAACGAATACTTAAGCGAATTTATCATTTCTGTTAGAAAGAAAGAGAACAACAGTGAATATGAACCAACTTCCATACGTTATATTTTTGTTACATTTGAGAGATACTTTAAGAAAAAGAACGGGTTTAGTATTATGATGGACAGGGATTTTGAGCTTGCCCAAAAAGCTCTGCTATCAAAGCAAAAAGACCCAAAAAAAAGGGAAAAGGAAACAAACCAAATGCTTCGGGTACTCTTGGTGAAGATGAAGTCAAACTGTTTTACAAAAAAGAACTTGTAGGAATTTCAAGCTGTCTGGACAACAGCATTCATGTTAGCATCTAAATACGTTAAATACTTCTTAACAGATTGTTAGCATCTAAATACGTTAAATACTTCGATGGCTAATTATTATCATAAGATGATTGATATTTGTTATTAGCTTTATCATATCGATTAGCAATATAACTGATGCCTCCTCTCATACCCCTTTCAATGAATTGAAACATATCAATATCTGTCATTAATTCTAATTTAATATCTGTCATCTTTAACATAGCATCCCAAGACAACCCAGGAGATGTGAAATAGTGGCATGGGTCTAATTTATAGTATTCTAAGCATGTTTTCCTAAAGTTTTCAAATACATCACTTAATAGAAGGATATCAAATTTCAGATACAGGTCGTGATACTCACCGATGTTTTTAAGATTGAATGTATTCCACACTTTTTGTGCATGATGGTATTGTTCATCTGATATATTATCAGCAGTAAGAATACTATAAAAGTCTTTTTTGAAGGTAATTTTTCATCAAACTTTTCAAAGCTATCCATGAAGTTGTATGGATATATACCTTTTTGAGTCATTAATTTAAATTTTTCACCTTGAAACTGCTTATAGGTATATTAAATGAATCTTTAGGTAAATTACAAACAAGCTTTTCCAGACTAGAGCTCATAAATTGAAAACTATCAATAAAAGTAAGATGGTTACCTAACATAAAAGCCATATACTTTTCCATGTTATTAGGTATAGCATTTATATTCAACTGAATATCTTCTCCTTTTTTGTTTTTGTATGTATGCTTATTAACAATAGCTCCGATTTCTTGCATAATAAAATGGCTGTCATACCCACGCAGATTGTGAAATATTACTGGGATTTTAAATTTATCAGAGTCTATTCTAAGTTTTAAATTAAAATCTTGATGTGCTGACCCTCTATATTTTCCAGTTATATGACAATGGTCTCGAACTCGAATATCTTTGTTAGTATATTTTTTGTTACAGATATGACGTTCATCAGCTTTTTTAAAGTCTTCTTCATCATCATAGGTCATTTTTAATGGTTTATTAAAGTGGGTTTTCATAATATTTTTACAATATTTAACTTCTTTTAACATAGATTCCATAAATTTGTAAACAGCCTTTTCACCTCTATATAGTTGAATTAGTTTTGTGAATTTATCATCATAACAACAAACAACTTTATACCCATAACAACAGTCAGTATGTTTCTGATAGGCTTCTGTATATGATTTTTTATTATTTTGATTACAACCAGATATCTTTTCTGCAATAGCCTCAAAATCGCTATATACAACAAATGGTAATGGTTATTACTTATGATAGTTGTTGAATTTCAGTATGTTGTAATTTTTATTTGGCATTCTTATTGATTGTATACCATTTATTAATATACAGATTTCTATGTGGTTATTTAATATTTTTTCAGAACTAAAACATTGAAGGCAACGCATACAAAAGTGTTTTCTTTCTTTATGCTTTGTTTGATTGTACATAAAGTTATTAAAATCTTTTATTAATACAAAATGTTTGTTTTAATTATCAGTTATCAATAGTAGTTCCATATGGTCTTCAAATTGTTCTTTTGATATGAATAATGGATATGGTTGTTTATTTTCATATCCGAAAACGTTAAATTTAATTCTGTTTTGCTTTTCGATTTTATTATATTGTTTAACAGTCACTGGAAATTCAATCCCAGAGTAGTCTAATTTGTTAATATATTCATTATCAGATTTTTTAATTCTCTGTCGATATTTATTTTGTGGGTTAATATGTCTAATTTTACACCATTTAAAGCATTCATTATCTCTATTTTTGATATTAATTAAACCTTTTTTACTATTTTTAAATTCTTGTGGTAAATTAATTTATGAAGATCCTTGTAATGGCTTGTATTTAACAATATTTAAATAATGGTTATCTACAGAGTGGATAAACCATCCAGAACTTTCTTGAGTGAATCTATCAATCTTGTTTAATATATTTTGTTCTGAAATTTGTAGTGATTCAGTAATATTTTCATTATTTGTAATTGTTAAAGCTGGATTGTTGAAATAAGCTGTTTGTTTTAAAACCCCAGCTGTACCACCTGGTTTAATATCAAATTTTTTAAATGTTACCTTAAGCGTTTCAACAAATTTTAATCCTTTCATTGTTGTTAATAATTCTTTAATATAATATGTAAGATACTTTCTTGTGCTTCGCATTAGTATTAATGGTACTTTATTGTTAATAATGCTTATTTCATATGACTTTGTATAACCTTTAAGAGCATCGTTTGTTTCTCTTATTTTAACTCTTGGTGTTGGTATTGGTTTTTTATTTTTATCTGATAGCATCTGTGTATTGTTCTCATACTCTTTAATCATCTCTTTTACACTTTTTCTTGGTTTTGGGACTGGTGTTAATACTTTGATTAATTCGTTTTTTCTAAGTTTATAATAACCTATAACCTTTTTTTCTTTAGCAATAACTTTTAACTGAGGTACAGTCGTTTGTTTGATATTGGATTGTGATAGTACTTTTTGTACTGGTTTGGAAATTGAAGTATTATTAACTTCAACCTTAGGCTTTTGATTTAATATTATACTAAGGAAATCATTTCTAGTCATGTTTTCGAGCGCATCTCTATTCATCTTCTGCATATTATATAATATAGGTATGTCTTTAAGTACCTTTCGATTTAAATAATCTCTATTCATGTATATATACAAATACTATATATATTATTTCTTTAAGTATATTTAAACGCACTAATTTTAATTATAGAAATAAATCTATATTTAAAACTTTTTATAAAAACTATATTATTTTTTATTTTTTTGAATTTCGAACATGTTTTTTTGTCCGAAGATGTAAAGTTTTATATGCTAAACTATATGTTTTATTACATGAATCACAATGCCATGGTTTTGAGAGCATATATGAAGTTCTATGTTGTTTAATTTGTTCTTTAGTATAAATTCTTGGCCTTCCTCTTATTAGGTTATCTGAACACATATATACTAATACTATATATTTTATTTTTTAAATAGTTATTTAATAAGTTTAAGATAGATTCTAATAATACCATAAGCAGTTATATGAGGACAATATTCATATAAATCAAATTTTATAACATGAATATCTGTATCTGTATTTTTAATTTCATATTCAAATTTACAATCTCGCCATTCATGAAATCTGTTAAACAGAGCATATGTTATTTCATTAAAACGTGGTACATAAGTATTACTTTTGTCTATTAAATCTGGTTTAAATGTCTTTAATATTATAGGT